ACACTTCTTTCACTTCACACTACAACCCCCATCATTCTCACCTTCCTCCAGTTGAGTGCCACAGAGTCCCCTTCTGCATGAGCCCGACTCTCGAGGACCTCATCAAAGTCCGTTGCCAACAAGTCTGCCCTCGCCTTTGCTTCCGAGTCGAATCTATCACATGGAACAGCGGTCTTTTAACATCACCCTCAAGTTTCAAGAGCATTAACGCTATCGAAGAAATGATCATCTAATGCAGAAAAATATACATGTGCGTCAGTGACAATGAGAAAAATCTAAGGAAATTCTTGTTGGTTTTTGTACACCTTCTCATTTTTAATTTTCAGTGAGCGAGTTCTCAAGCTCAGCCGAGGAAACCAAATATTTTTTCCAACATTCGCAAATTCCGAGATATACAGACTATCCTAGACCCAGTGTTGAATTACTACACCGCCTGTTGAGCCTCCATCGCCTCCTCTCCTCCAATCAATGGTACATGGGTCCAGTCACACTCTCCATAGAGCTGAGCATCCCTATGGAATGCCCCCACATCTACTCCAGCAAAGGACTCTGCTATTTGAGCATCCAAGGTAGCCCAACGAGCGACTCTATCGTTGTATACAGAGCGAGCCAATCTGAACAACAAGCTCACGTGGGTTGATACCATCTGCGACATCATTACGAACGATACTATAGTCAAATTCAACTGTACACTATGGATATTAAATGTTGTTAATACTAGTGGAGTGAACTGTCCAAATAAGCTCATCGTCGTTGTCGTCATTCCCCCTCCCCCTGTTATGACCGTTCCTTCTCAGCCCTCTTTCTTTCGGCCTTGACCCGCTCCTCATGAAGTCGATCCTTCTCAGCTCTCCAAGCAACAAGTTCGGCAACACTCTGTAACAACAAGAACAGTGTACAGCACCGCCCCCAGTCCTTTGATGACTACAGCCGAGCTTAGCTGAGCGTCCATAGCATATGACATAGCCAGATCTAGTGCATTTTGAGCCCGACTCGCCACTGCTTCGCTCTCGACCGTGCCTGGTGCACAAGTGCTGATGAACTAATGACGACTACTGAAGACGACCCACTCATAGTCTTCTCCGTGATGGCTTCATTACAATTGTAGGTCTTCTCATCAGCCGTAATCACAACACTGATGGGCGTTCTCAGGGTGCCGTTCGACGGCTCTAGAGGCTCGTCTTCCCCTCTATTCGTAGGAACACTGAGAGAATATCACCACTCACTTTCTCAAGGTGAATCGCTGTCAATGAGAGCCTCGTAAACACTCACAACACATCCCCTATAGTACTACTCTTGCGCTTGTTCTTTCTCATGGACTACAGAGACTGCATCGATGACTTCTTGCGAGGCAGCAACAGCAGTAGTAGTAGCAGTTGGGAGGAGCCGATAAGGATCTGCTGCTGTTGCTGCTGTTTCCCTGGGCATCATACCTCCTACCGCTGCTGTAGGACGAGTAATGATATTCTTCAGTACACTAAGAGAAGGACAACATTCACTTGGTTAATATCCATCGTGACGAATGCAGGGCACTTCACCTCATTCATACACTTACAGTTCTGGACTAATTTCGTAGCGTTTCGGTGCTTCAATGGAGTGGTCAATGATGGCCTCGGGAGATTGTCGATAAGAGTTGCAGACGAGCGGAGCCACTTCGGGATATAATCCTTGATGATGACGTGCAGTAGATAGAGAGCACGTTGAGGGGACAACAGCAGCAGCAGCCGAGCTACTAACCGGAACTATAGGCAGTGTGAGAAAATATGCACATGGTCAACCACATATGTTGGTGACAATACGAAAATTCCGAGGAAATTTTGGAAGTTTTCATTCATTTCAAATTTTTTCTACCCGAATTCATATTAGTCAGTGGGAACCTCCTAGGATCAACTGAGGAAACCGGAGATATATTTCAACACTGAGTGTATGAAGGTACCACTGATAACTCGAAAGCAGCTTAAACGTTGAAATTGACAGCGAGTGTCTCCATGAATATGAATAACAATAGTAACAACAGTGAGATGATAATCACGAGCATTACAACTGTCATATAATGACTTTTGCATAATGTGTATTTGTTGACCTAGTGAGACACTCGAATGCTCCTGACAATATGCATCTACAAGATAGGAACCCAACAGCATGATTATGTCTATGACCATTCAACCAGTCAGATTTGAATACTACCAGGACATCTCACGTAAAACTATACACACAGCATGAGGCTAGGTGATGACTTAACCATCGACTGGCACTTTATACACAGTCTAGATTCTCTCACTGCATCTAATCACCCACTCCATAGGAGTATTTTGAAGAACATCAATACTGTGTTATTGGCAAACATTGTCACATATATGAACCGCTTACTTCGTGAAATTCGTAGAGTGTAATAACAGCATTGTCAGGAACGATCCGTGCCTATTTATAAATGTATACTGTCTAGCCGCCGGAATTGCTGAGCTGAGTGAAATTTGGAAACATCATGTCGGAAAGATCAGAATACCGGCAGCACAATTGGCACACTTTGTGCGTTTTTGACTACTCACCGTTTTAACGCGCGCGAAACCGACAAGTCAGCGGAATTAGTAACACGCGTCATTATCGTTACCTTCATTCATTATCCCTTCGACCAGCACATGACGGACGAAAATCGGAATGGAACCATCGTGGGTGAGCTCAGTGGCTTATCAGAGGCCGAGCTAGCGGCTGTACAGGAGCTTCTTGAGAGGACGGCTGAGGAGGCTGCTGTTGATGATGATGATCAATCCTCGAGCTGTTGGGGTGGCCGGCTTACTCTCACTTATAAACCCTCGATGACCCGAAGGAGAAATACTGTGCCCGACTGCCGAGTCGCATTACCCATAACAGAGACGAGACCACCCAAGATTGCCGACAGGATCTTCGCGAACGCCATGATAAGTCTGAGTAGTGAGCATAGGGCACTTTGGAGGCAGGCTGAGAGGGAGCTCAAGAATACTCCTGATGGGAGGGCGACAAGTCAATTGCGCAATAGGAGATTTTCAATGCCGGATGTCCCACTGAATGTCGAGGCGGAGAAGAAGTCCGGGAAAAAAGTGATACCATTGATTCCCAGTGGAATTGTATCGTCGCTTGGCTTGGATGATTTGGAGGAATCTGTTAATACTAACAAACACCACAGTGATACCGTGAGGAGATGTAGTATAGTATCGACGACCTCGGGATGGAGCACAGGCAGACAGCAACAACAACAACAGCAGCAGTATGGTTCTGGCTTCACTACAGTGGACAACTCGTCAAACTCGGTGGCCGCTGCAAATGATGATGACTTTTGCTAAACCTATTTCTTGCAGCATACCGAGTATATATACCATTGCTGTTCATTACTCCAGTGATTATTAATTACCTGCTTTTAGCAGCAGATTTTTGGAGGCATTGGCTTGGTCCATTATTCTTGCCGACAGCATAATGTGATTGGTTTCATCCGTATAGCCTTTCCTGTGCGATCACTGTGGTAAACACGGAGAGCTTGGTTTCTCCTTCTTCTACTACTACCACCAGCACTTGTTGAGTTCCTGCCGGGATATCAAGCATGGTATGGTACACCGTTTCGATATGTCAGCTAATATTCCACAATGTCTCGGCGACTGTTCATAGTGTACACACTACTCCTGCTCACAATTTCAGTCGATCGGATTCTAGGTAACCACAAGCAAACACACCGTGTCGGGATATTGTCACTTTTCAGCCTCTACACCTTCCAACACTAGCTCTCTCGCTGCGGTCTCTGACAGGTAATCACAGCGGGCTCGGCAGTTACTCGATAGTTGCGATTCATAGTGTCGTATGTTATCACTCTTATCAGATCTGACCCTAGCAATTTCAGCCAGCTAGCTTCCCGACGTCGTCGTGGGAGGAGACGTAGGCTCAGACGTGAAGAGATGAACTCAGCCGTCGAAGCGGAAAGCTCTTCGATGATGAACCAGAAGCAATTCAATTCATGGCTCGATAACCTTTTCTTGAATGCTGAGAGGAATAGACGAGGTGAGAATTATCGTCGCAACCGCCTAGTGCAGCACCACCTCAGATGAGATGCGTCTCATGGAACAGAGGGATCCCATTTTGAGCCGGTATGACCCTGAGACCATGCCCCTCGATGGCAACTCGGGTCATCACCAGCAACGACACCATCATCGAGGAGCTTTCTTCGAGAGTGCTGATGACGCTGCAAATGCTGATTATGATGATGCTGAGCTTGGTTGGGATTGAGTGGATCATGCATTAACGTTGTTGTCTGTCAATTTTATGTTGTGTTTGTTACTATACCAGTACCACTCCTCTGCGAATCAGCCAATATTCGTATCAAGTCATGGGATGCCACCATTTGATAATACAGGTCGGCCTGATTGTATCAGTAGCCCTGCAGGTGACGCAACAGAGGAGTTCTGCATTGGATGGTAACACTGCTGTCAATTTCCAATGCACGGAGAATTATTGCAATCCCGAATTGATCGGATGCCTGAATGACCATGAAGGCCCTGAGGCAGACGGTCCCGAAGGTATGGCTCGATGTGGCTTGACTCAGAGGAGTGCGAACGTCCTTAGGAGGCGATGGTAACCGATGTGCTGAAGTTATACGTTGTGTGTATGGGAAGCAAACGCTAGACCTATCAGAAGTAGTGTTGTTAGGTTGAAGTAGCGAATTTGGTTTCTTCTATTCAGTCACGTGCAGTGGACTATCAACAATGCTTTGCCGGACAGAAGCTGCACGGAGAGACATCACAGTACGGAGTACTAAAGAGGTGCATTGCTGCTAAGAGCTGTGTTAAAGGCAGATGACGACTCCAATGATCATGTGGCCACATGCTATCGTAACCACCTTAGTGTGTTCCAATATGCTTGTCGTATCGGAGGGTTGTTGAGTTGTTCCACAGTGTGGCGGAGGGAACATCACACACATATGTGTACGGCGCCGCATAGCTATACAGTAGCAACAGCAATGTCAAAGTCATCAGAATCAATCTGGTGTTGTTCAGAAGAGTGCGATAGCCTTCAAGAAGGACTTCCCTGAGTGTGTATTTCTCTCCATCCATCAGTTTATTCATCCCAGTCTGCGATAAATCAAATGCGTTCCTTCATTCTCTCCCTATCAGCCTTCATTGCAACTCTCGCACTGGCGTCCGCCACTGAAGACCCATGTGCTCAGATGTGTTCATATGTAGAGGGCTGTGCTAACTCAAAGTACGATTCCTACTGCAAGACTTGGCAGTCTCCTTCTGTCTGCTTTGGTCTGATTAAGAAATCTGATGGGTCGATATGCTTCGAGCCCACTGATGCTGATTGTGTTGGGGAGTCTATTGCCTGCGGCGAGCAGCAGCCCTCTGCGGCACCTGGTACCACAGTCATGGAGGGTACCACAGGAGTGCCTATGACTACCACTGCCAGCGTCGAGTCTTCTGGTGCCTCGACCTCATCAGCTCGTCAAACTTCCACCGTTGTCGAGACCACTCAATCTGAGTAACTCTGAACTCACTAACGGGAAACCGTTCCTTTCATTTCATTGAACTTTTACCTAATGTCTGAGCAAAATCTGCCCTGCATTCTTACACATGCTGTTTTTGTGTTGAGACTCAATTGCACCTTTTGAATGTCAAGTTCGTTTTTGCAATCACCGATTTCGTCGGGAAGTGTCAAGGCAGATGCACGAATCAGAAACGGTAAGGCCATATTTGCTCTTGGAACTTTCAATTCCGTTGAAGACCATAACTTCAATCTATTCTATAGTTGCACCGCAAGCATGGAATAGAATCGATTCTCCTGATGAGAATCGTTGGAGGCTGCAATGTGCATCCAACAGGATTGTAAGTCCTCTAACGAAATTGGTGGTTTGAATTCGAAATTGACAAAAACGAAATCGAGCTCTCTATCGATCCCAGGCGAATTTGAAAGTTCCCCAGTAAGATTGACAAACTGAGAGACGAAAAGACCGCAAGCCAGCGCTCTCATAGTTTTCCAGGATCTATTTTCTATCCGTGCGTGGTTTGCGTTCTAACTCACTACACAGAGTTTACAGTATGTCGCTTGCAACCCGGCCACAGCCAGATCAATGAGAAAGCTACACGAAGCGCTCCGCTTGAAGCGCATCATGAGAAGCTATCCTCATGATCTCTTGCCAAGAAATCCCAGAGCTTGGAACCGATAGAAAAATCCAGACCTGCGAATTTTCAGGTTTCTGTGGAGAGGACAACGTCCATTCCTTTCCAGACAGGACTGATCAATGAATGGATTCATCCTCAACTCCAAATTGACTATAGTTATTCGATCATCAAAGGCGCACACTGAGTTACAATAAGAAACCCAAAAATCACTGAAAGACATCATGCTGGAGCTTCCGACTTCTTTCGACAATTCGCTCCTCGGTGACCACATAGTCGACTGGAAAGTCTTTAGCAGAAACAGGTATCTCATCAAGAATCTGAAGTACATAGGTCACGACACACCTTCCACGAACACTCTAAAAACACCATCACCTCACACTCGAATGCTGGGGCTATCAGCAAAGGCATGCTTCCAGTCTTAGCCGAGAATCGAGCCAAGTAGCGGTCGTAAAATCCTTTGCCTCTTCCCAGTCTGCGACAATGAATATCGAACCCAAGTCCCGGCACCAAAATGACGTTTAGCGCGGGAGGACGACAGTCCATTGCATTCACTCTAGCCTCCCCAGTCGACGGGTTGATGAAATCTGGTTCTGGTATACCCCACGTTGTACGAGGGAACGATGATATATCATTAAGGCTCCTGATAGAGTTAATGCCAGCCATGCCGTGTAGAGGCGTTATCATCACTTGGCCTCTAGAAGTTCCATATCGTTGCTACCATGGATGGTCTTCGGCACAAAGACTCTCTTACCGCTTTTGAATGCATCGGCGACCAAACGTTCAGTCTGTACCTACTCATAATAACAACTTCATATCTTCATCACTGGCGTTCACACTATGAGTCATATTATCAGTGACTTCATACTATGAGGTTGAACTACTTAGAATCGTCGACCGTCCCAATGACTATGCCCTCATTCTCTCACCTCCCCCTGAGGCATCGAGAGGAATACTCCCACTGCTTGGGCTTCTTTCCAAACAAGCATATCCAATATTTTATCTACTATGAAGCCCGACTTCTCAACCACTAGGGATTGGGGTATTCCTTGCACCCTCTGTTTGATCATGCGTCTAGTTGCTTTCTTTGCTGCTATCAATGATGACATAGCCTCAGAATTGTCACTCATATCCAACAACAACCACTACCCAAACACTCATCAACAACTGTAGGACTTATTCTATGTACTCTATAAGAAGGGAGAGAGCATCGGCTCAAAGTCAGATCATGCTGAGTTGCTCAACAGTGGTGAGCGTTGGGAAGCGAGTTGGACGAGCTCAACGGAGATCGGCTTAAACCATCCCAGGAAAATGCAGACTATAGCATGTCCGCTGTCAAGTTGTTCACCAACGACCATCTCGATGACCTCAACGACTCGGCACTACAATCCAATGAAAGACGATACGCAGCGCTTGATCGAGCTACATACAACCATTCCTGATCCAGTTGAAGTAACACCACAGTAGCGATCAAACACTCGCAAGACAAACGGACATACAGGGAAATGATAGCGTTCAAGTCTTGCAATGCTCATCGGCGGTTCTTAGGTTCGTCTCTCGATCTGTTCTTGAATACTCCGCTTCCTTTCCGACTCTTAAAGAAGCCCGGCATGCTTCTTGATTACGCATGATTGATTCAAGCATACCCATGCACTGAAGACACTCCCAATACTAATTGGTGCTCTCTCGAATTCAGTAGTCACTAAGCATGATGAGTCATCTCGTACATCTAGAATAGTTCTTCCTGGAAAGTCGTTTTCGCGACGACCAAAGGCCGTGACTGCAAGAATTCGCTGATATCCCCTCCCACATCAGATACTTATGAGTGATACACTCAGACGTAACAAGTAAGCCCTCAATCAGCTGTTTGAAGACTAGTAGGAGGATAACGCTGTAATAACTCTAAGCTCAACAATACTGTACTGTAGACGGCGTAAGCTCACTAACAGCTGTTATTGATAAGACCATCATACAACAACTACTCAAGTAATGCATCATCATCATTGTTCTCTATTCCTCCTCCTTCTTCCCTATCGAAACATAGCTCGAGAACTAATTCATACACACCTTACAATGATCGAGACCACGAGATAAGTAACAACACCAGTAGCAAAGTATTCATCATGGGCATGACTATTATCATCATCATCACGACCATCAACCACAAGCACAACAACATCTGTAATACATCCTCCTCCTCCTCCTCCTCTACCAATTCATAGTAATAGTATAGTAATTGAATTGTATTAATGGTCGTCAATAGGGACTGCTGGACCTCCCCCTCCGTCCTCTTTCTTCCACTGCCGCATCCTCCTCCCCCTTCTTTATCTGCACTTTAATACGTCGACCATTAGCCGCCACGAAGCCGTTCATCTCAGCGACCTGAATCAAATACCCTCACACGCATATCAGCCACGTTTTCATCGTTGTGATGTTCGTAACGAGAGCAGCATATTCTATCACTCCTAGAAACAAGATTTACACACATGCAATAGTACCATATTCCACACAACCAGCTGTCCCATTCCTGCTGTCTTATCATCAACCTTTCTGTTTATACATTCTCCCTACACAGTTCGTGTCGAGTTGATATTCCAGACATTCAAGTCAAACGCTTATACTAAGCCCATAATATTACCGCACGTCCCGCAGATTGTGCATTATCATAGGAGATGAAGCCGTAACCACGCGATAAGCCAGTATGCTTATCAACCACCACCTTACATGACGACAGTACACTCCTCATGAACGACGAGTGATCAGTTCCCCTCGATACCTTAGCGGAAACAATATTCCCGAAACTTGAGAAATGATCTCGTAAATCGTCCTCAGTCCAAGCGTCCGGTACCCAGAATACGAATACGTTAGCACCAGGAGGACCTACAAAATGACAATATCGGCGCCAGAAAAATATATGAAAAAAGTTAGATCGCTTTCGAGGAATATGAATATTCTCTCAGTTGGATTGAAATCCAATACTTGTGCTGCGTACAGCTACTATCCGACACCGATGAGCCAACTCCATAGTATGTCCATAGTATTGTAGGAATATATGCATATGGTCAACTACATGTGTTCGTGGCAGTAAAGAAAATGTGGGAAATCCATGTCGGTTTTCCTGCACTTCTACCCTCATTCGTGTGTCAATTTTCACAATATTACGAGGCAGCTCCTGAGCTCAGCTGAGGAAACCAACCATATATTCCAACACTGATCGATCTCCTACCCCGCTGACGACACGGCCGAGAGTACTCCTACCTTTAGTCTGAGGAGCTGTGTGTACATTAATCGGATTCCTGAACTCTGCGGGCATCTCCCACTGCACTTCATTGGTGCGAGCATTGTGATAATAAGGAGTGTCGTCCATCGTGAAGTACCTGTTCAGCGATTCATACAGTACTGACGACTTAAGCTCATCATATCACTCAGTCCAGACCCCAGCAGTCCTTGGTGCTTGAGTTCCTGATGGAGATCCCCCTCTAATCCCGTTTATAGTAGGAGTATCCAGCCTCCCCGGTGATGTTAATGATGAAGTAGCACCATTTATTGGTAAGGATGCAGCCGCACCAGCCATCAAACGTAAGCCAGTAGCACCTACTGCTTCAGACGTAAAAGCTCGGTTCGGCACACATCGAAATTCCTTATCACGCGCTCAGTATTGAGATTGATTTTATGAGTATACCACCCATATTACTAGCAGGATCAGCTGCCATCCCAGCCTTGAATAACGGCCGTGACGTTCCACCTGCTGCAATCAAAGGCGGCGAGCCACCATAGCCCGACGACGATGTAGTGGGGTCGTAAGCTCCTACAATTGTATAGTACAGCACACGGATATTGGACGGGGAGCATATAGCGTATTCACTGAAAGCCAGTGTAGGAAAATGTACACATGGTCAACTACGTGTGTCGGTGACAGTACAAAAATTTTGACCGAATTTTCGGATTTTTTTTTCGTTTCTTAGCACTTCTACCCTAGTTCGTATATTAACTCCTATAATTAGGGAGGAAACTCCTGAGCTCAGCTGAGGAGAGCGAACATAAATTCCAACACGACTACAAGTCTACGCTTACCCCCCTCATAGCCATGCTGCTGCTGCTGATGATGAGCGTTTCTATCGGCTTTGGCTGCCCTTGATTCGGCCACCTTCACCTCGAGTGGCCTTTGGGACCCCTCAACTGTGACACGACCGTTGACCTCTCGAATTGCCTTCAGCGCATCTTCCTTTTCCGCAAACCGAACGAATGCATATCTGATTAGATGACCCATGAGTTGCTCGAGGTGTGGTATGGGCTTGGCCCCTATTACAAGGCATGCGGTCCCGGTACATGCACTTCATTGATTCGCCCGAATGGTTCAAAAATAGTCCGAAGCTCCTCTTCCTGGGTCCCTGGTCCCAACCCCGATACGAACAACTTCGTATCACCACCTACCACTACCCTAACCCTGGTTATTGCGACACACTCTAGTTACCTGTTGCCACCACTTCCCCATGCATACCAAGCCTTTCCGCTTCACCTTGGGCTAGCGATACTGACAGCGGTATATGGGACTGAGCAAAGGACATGTCATTAACACTCTCAACATCGTTATCAATACAACTAGTAGAGGTATTATGACAAAGACGATAGCCTGAATGACGAGGAGGGGCAAGTGAATGATGCGATAATACTGACTGCTACTACCCCATAATACTCTGCCCGCTACTTAGATATACAAAAACAACAACCCCTCAAGTGCTGCTACATCGCTCCTTGGTAGCTGAGTACCATTCAATGCCTTGATCGCTGCCATGCCAGATGGGATATCTCGAAACCGTACGAAGGCCATACCTATCATTCAGACAAACACCACTCTCATTACTACTAACACAACCATTATTACCTCTACTCTGCATCGTCGACCTATCCCTCAATATAAACACATCTTCTACCATACCATACCTAACAATATCACATGGCTACAGCTACAGCATCGCACAGCACCGAAGATAACTGCGACATAATCCCAACGGTAACTCATGCTACAACATTCACAGGATATATATCGAGACTACCTGGGGTCATCGACCAAGTCAAACCCGTGTATTCTTTTAACAACGCCCCCCTCGTTTACAATGAAATCTCGTAGACCTACTCTTCAAAAACAGCTCTCAAGTCGGACTCTGGGTAGTGGACTGGGAGTCCTCTCACGAACAGTTTAACGGAAGTAGACTCCATTCGGTCAGCAGCCATGCTGGGCATTCAACACGGGCAACAAACTCTTGTGCAATAATCAACGTTACCGCCCATCACATCGGTGTACCAGGTAAATGATATCCCCATCGAGAGGCAAATGAGTTTGTTGATAACGGGATCGACTTCATCCTACAATTCATCAACCTACATTGCAAACGCCAGCAGACTCAAGTTCAGAGGCCCATAACGACAGCATGAAATGCACAGCTTCCCATACCACTCCATTAGCAATTATCCAGTGACTTAAACGCAAGATATGATTAGTAATAGAGTACGACAAACAGCATGATATCGCTCATGGGGTAGCGTACTGCTGCTGCTGCTCACTCTCCTGAGCAGACTCCTTCAACAGACAGTTCGGTTTCACGAGTGCCATCAAGTCCCCCTTCACTTCGTCCTTCACAAATACTACTATGAACAATACAGAGTTGATGAGTGATGCCAGGCCCAGTGTGGTGAATAAAGGCGAGCAGGTTTCTGAGAGTAAACACGAATGCAATACCACCAGCAAGCACGAACAAAGGTACCTGTGCCTCCCGTAGCTGCCAACACTATCTGTACTCCTGCTAGTATTATCAACACTAGAGCCTTCAACTGTGAGCTCAGTCGACCGAGGAACATCTTACTCCTTGCTACATCGTCGCGAGCCGTCCACGAAGATAAGGTCTGATATAACACTACATGGAGCCTTTCCAACCACACCGAATACAAACTTATGCTCATAAAAGGGATCATCTTTTCACATAGCGAGGAACACTCTCATTAGCAGGTTTCCCATGTAAATGTCATATTAGAAACATTTCCCCCATCGTTATCGACCCATCGGGGACGTTATCCCTCGAAGCTACATAGGCCTCTGCGGTCAACTAGGGGGAATTTTCTCAAATTTTTTCAACAGAATTTTTCACAGGTTTACCAGAGTGTTGCCCATCCTACCGGTAGGACCAAGGCTGCCAGTATAACCATTGCCACTAGGGATACTAAGCTCTGCGTTGTGCACCCTCCGAAGAGGAACATTCCCCCTACCACAAAATTGCCGAAAACCCCAAAAACTGCACACATGCCGTACCTGAGCCCATATCGATTTCGAAAGGGTAGTAGTTGACCACTTACGCTGCAATGCCAAAGACACCAGCACGTTTGACCCCAACGTAAACACTTTTGGTTAGACGCAGCGCCTGAACGATTCGACAGTGGGAATCAGGTTATGGTTCATACCACACCTCATGGAAATTAGAGCCTTTAGCCAGTTTACCATTCAAGGTGATGTCTTCCACAATACCACCTTTAACAGGTACTTTTATCTGTTAAGCATTAATTAGCAATGGTCGCTAATGCCGAGCTGTACCTCTGTCGTCCTCTGCATGTCTTTGCTCAAACGACCTTCTTTATAAAGCTCCTGAGTGTATCACCATGACGATTATTGAAAGAGAGAAACTCAATCACATTCAAGTCGATTCGGCCATCTGCGATCACATCATCGTCCTTTATTATCTCCATCAATACCTCTCCAACAGGACCTCGAGCATCCTAACACGACCACCACTACTCGAATAAGCCCTATTTGGGGGGGATGGTCTCACCTCGATGGCTCCGATCACCCAAGTGAATTCTCCTTCCTTTTTAGCAAAAGTGTGCCTATCATACCGTATACAGCCTCACTACGAGCCCTACCAAATCTTACTCGGTTCGACCCGATTCGGATGATAATCGCGCAAACTCTTCAGCTTTTCCATTATGCATAACACCTTTCATCACCACCCTTAGAATAGCATCGTCCCCCTTCCGATTGGTTATGGCCACGAGTTCACCAGTGAAGACGAACCTGTCACTACAGGCCTCGAATTACGCCGAGGATACCACGCCATTTACACATCGGCGATGACGCCTCCAACACTAGCTCTCTTGGCTGGATGGTAAAGCCAAACTATCGTTCCTGCTATGGTAGCGCCGAGTACCACAAGGAAGCCCATAGTCCACAGCTGAAGCCCAACGGCCGGTTTGCTCATAACACGCCCACCTTCTAGCCTGATGAGCGAAATACACTCTGTTGAGTTTAAGCCAGAACGGAAGGCCAAGGGAATTCCCATTCGTGGAAGTGTGGTCTTACTTGTTTTCGAGGCGCGTGACGGTATCAAGCTCGGTGTTGAGTTTAGTCTCAGTCTTCGAAATGATGTTCAACAGTGTCGCGAAAGGATCTAAACAATAGTTGTTACGATGGCCAGTGAGATGGCATACAACTCCACCTTGTGTGGTAGGCTTATGACGTGTATCATTGACGTGAAGCCTTAATACAAGATGGCGACCATCACTCTGTGTAAGTAGTAGTAGTGTTTGTATGGAAGTAAGCCATGACAACAAGTGCATGAGTATTAGCTAATTTCAATAGAGGGATTGTTAGGAGCAAAGGAGACCAAGACAACTGGTACCTTATCGTTGACTGGCACTATGAGCCCTCTCTATTTCTGAGCTAACACACAGCAAGCAGTCGATGGTAGAAGGGGAACCCTTCGCCCACGACGCGAAGCAATAAATGCAACCTTGCATAATGGGAAGCTCATAATAACATCAACGACCATGATTCAAGCACGAACGTGATGAGCTTCCAGATTGAAATCGATCAACTGGGCGCAGTGTGTTTCACTCCGCTACAGCGCGCTTTCTCTACAGCCGCTTGAGATGTTGCAGTGAGCTCGGCGAGGTATCATACCACACCAGGCTCAATATCTCTTGGATCACACTATTGTGTCGTGTAGTTGCAGTAATTTCTTATATAAGATAATAATAATTTCTTAATAATTTCTAATATAAGAGTGAAACATGGAGGGATGTCATTATGAACGATTCTCTTTCTGTTGATGTATAGCATTAGATCAGGAGCGGAGTTATAGATATATTCCCCTAGTAAAAGTTGGTATTTTGAGGCGCAATCTTAACACGTGTATGCTAAGAATATGTGGAGAAAACGTTTTACCGGTCTTCGACTTCTCACTAACTACGAAGAGTTAGGCCCTGAAACTTGGAGGTCATATCAGGTGAAGCATAAGTACATACCTCCTTGAGCCGCAAGATGATACTCGTTGTGGTGGCTGTGCACGAGTCGAAAAACCGGATATGCTAAGAATATGTGGAGGGGTGTATTGATGATACCACTGGTATCATATTCACACGCATATCTACTGAGCAGCAGATCTCTAGCATCGCGCAGGAGTATCACGAACATTTCATATGTCGTAACATAATGAGCAATGAAAAGGGGTTCCGAGTTCCAATCAAAATTTTCAACGAAGGAAAATTCTTCTTACGAACTCAAGAAATTACTGTAGCTACACGACACTATAGTGTGATCCAAGAGATATTGAGTCTGGTGTGGTATCATATTCACATGCATATCTACTGAGCAGCAGATCTCTAGCATCGCGCAGGAGTATCACGAACATTTCATATGTCGTAACATAATGAGCAATGAAAAGGGTTTCCGAGTTCCAATCAGAATTTTCAACGAAGGAAAATTCTTCTTACGAACTCAACATATCTCTGCAGCTACACGACACTATAGTGTGATCCAAGAGATATTGAGTCTGGTGTGGTATCATATTCACATGCATATCTACTGAGCAGCAGATCTCTAGCATCGCGCAGGAGTATCACGAACATTTCATATGTCGTAACATAATGAGCAATGAAAAGGGGTTCCGAGTTCCAATCAAAATTTTCAACGAAGGAAAATTCTTCTTACGAACTCAAGAAATTACTGTAGCTACACGACACTATAGTGTGATCCAAGAGATATTGAGTCTGGTGTGGTATCATATTCACATGCATATCTACTGAGCAGCAGATCTCTAGCATCGCGCAGGAGTATCACGAACATTTCATATGTCGTAACATAATGAGCAATGAGAAGGGTTTCCGAGTTCCAATCAGAATTTTCAACGAAGGAAAATTCTTCTTACGAACTCAACACATCTCTGCAGCTACACGACATTATAGTGTGATCCAAGAGATATTGAGTCTGGTGTGGTATCATATTCACATGCATATCTACTGAGCAGCAGATCTCTAGCATCGTGCAGGAGTATCACGAACATTTCATATGTCGTAACATAATGAGAACTGAAAAGGGCTTCCGAGTTCCAATGAGAATTTTCAACGAAGGAAAATTCTTCTTACGAACTCAGCAAATTACTGTAGCTACACGACACTATAGTGTGATCCAAGAGATATTGAGTCTGGTGTGGTATCATATTCACATGCATATCTACTGAGCAGCAGATCTCTAGCATCGCGCAGGAGTATCACGAACATTTCATATGTCGTAACATAATGAGCAATGAAAAGGGTTTCCGAGTTCCAATCAGAATTTTCAACGAAGGAAAATTCTTCTTACGAACTCAACATATCTCTGCAGCTACACGACACTATAGTGTGATCCAAGAGATATTGAGTCTGGTGTGGTATCATATTCACATGCATATCTACTGAGCAGCAGATCTCTAGCATCGCGCAGGAGTATCACGAACATTTCATATGTCGTAACATAATGAGCAATGAAAAGGGTTTCCGAGTTCCAATCAGAATTTTCAACGAAGGAAAATTCTTCTTACGAACTCAACATATCTCTGCAGCTACACGACACTATAGTGTGATCCAAGAGATATTGAGTCTGGTGTGGTATCATATTCACATGCATATCTACTGAGCAGCAGATCTCTAGCATCGCGC